ACTGAAAATGGCTGCTGGCTGTGACTGGACTACAAATCCCAGAGGTACCTGGAAGCAGGAAGAGGAAGTGATGGGTACCCTTGCAGAGTCCTGTTACTGTGATTCTGGGTTGGAAATCCCAGAGACCTCTGGGGCGGCAGGAAGAAGAATCAAACACACAGCCTATACTAACTATGTGCTAGATAGCTATGCTTTAGCACCCCCCAGCTTCTGGCCTGAGCTACTGCAAGCACGTGGCTGCATTACCTGAATCAAAAGGAAATATGTGTCCTGTTGTTTCTCAGTTTAATCTCTGCAGCATAGACTAACTGGCAAAGACTGGATCGATTCAGCTGCAGGCTTTTTGACTGTCTGTACTTAGCCAATATGAGGATATCCACATTTTACTGCATTTTTCCATGGCAAATGGAAAACAGGGATCCCTGCTAATGACCCTGTCAGGGGGAAGCTGCAGCTTCCAGCTGCTGGACCTGCTCAGACCTTTCAGCAGCTGTCTCCTGATTGCACAGGTGGAGTTCAAAGAAAAGCAGCTGGTGCTGAGATGCTCTTAATGAAATCTTGGGAATTGGTGAGTACATGTTTGATGCTCAATTTCTCTGGATGTTTCCTCTCTCTTTAGGTCTTGTGCTGCTCAGAGCAGGGGTCACAGCTAAGCAAAGCCCTGCAGAGAGAAGGTCTGGGGCAGACGAACTGCTGGAGAGCTCTAGCAGGGGTGAGTGATGGCTAGGTTGCCTAAGGAAGGGTGGAAAAGTGGATGTTGTTTTTACCGGTGTTAAGGGAACATGATTTGTGTACCTTTGTTTGCCCTGCTCCACGCTCCGTGTGATGCTGGAAAAGTCTCTTTGGTCCTCAACAAGATACAAATACCCAAAACAGGATTTCAGTGCCATGTTGATGCCTAAGTGCACAACTCCAAGGTCATGGAGTGGTGACATGTGCCAGTGACCAGAAATAGGACTATTCAGACATAGAGGTAGATCCATTAATCCATTAGCACATTCACCTAGAAAAAGAATATATATATACGAACGGCCTGGTACTCTTGGAAAATGACTCTCTGCTTATGGGGGACTTCGACAATTACTGAAGTGTTGTTGAAAGTCCTGGGTTAGGGTTGAAACAGCTTAGCCCTGTTGAATATCTCTGGGTTCAGGTTAGAGGTGAGAGCAACAAGGTGAGTATGCTATAGGCTGCCAGACCAGGAGGAAGTGGTGGATGAGGCTTTCTTCAAACAGCTAGCTAAAGTTTCCCACTCCATTTGTCCCACATTCCCTTTATTGTGCAGGGATCTGTGTTTTCCATTCACTGCAGAAAACCACGGGAAATGCCAGGTTTCCTGGAGCTGGAGTTGAGCAGGATGTAGATGGCACCACATGCATGTATATCCATGCCCATATCCATATGGCCAGCAACAAAGCCCCAATCAGGGGTAGAGGGAGGTCCCCCAGCTGCCTGCAGGTGAGTGCAGAGGGGCAGACTGAGGCTTCTATGGTGAGGGTGGGAGTAGGGCAAGGTTGGTGGCTGGGGGTGCTGCCCAGGCAGGACAGTGTATGGGGCCCAGGGCAGGAATGTGCAGCCACAGGGCCCAAGAGGGGAACAGGATGGAGCCAGAGACAGCTTCTCCAGTGAGTGAGGGGGGGTGGCTTCCTCCTCTTGCATGCACTTCCCCGGAGGGGAAATGGTAGGGGCACATGCTCCCCCGAAATCTGTTGGCAGAATGGAGGATGATGCGGACTCAGGGCTCTTCACCTGACTTCTGTGCTCCTGGGATCTCCACACCAGCAGTACATGCCATGGCAAGGTGCCCCTTGTCTGTCTGTCCACAGCCATGGCAGCAATGCAGAGTTGTACCCCGTACTGTTGCTGGGTGAGCAGGGAAACCTCGCCATGCAGTGCTGCAGGCATAGGACTCCCAGACATAGGGCAGCAGGATGGGGGAAAGGGAGGTGGAAATATATTCCTCTTTCCAATTTGGAAAATGTGGTCAACCCAAGCAGGTCCTCAAGGAATCCATTTCTAAGCACTTGGAGGAGAAGAAGGTGATTATGAATGGTCAGCATGGACACACCAAGGGCAAGTCATGCTTGACCAATCTGATTGCTTTCTATGATGAGATGACTGCTTCCATGAATGTGCAAAGACCAGTGGATGTGGTGTACCTTGACTTCAGTGAAGCTTTCGATATGGTCTCCCACAATGTTGTCGCAGGCTAGCTAAAGAAGTTCAAGCTGAATGAATGGACTGTAAGGTGGATAGAAACTGCCTGATAAATTGGGTCGAGAGGATAGTAGTCAACGGCTTGATGTCTACCTGGAAGTCAAGTGGAGTGCCTCAGGGGTTGGTCCTGGGGCCGGTTTTATTCAATATATTCATTAGTGACCTGCAAGAAGGTATAGACTGTATCCTCAACAGGTTTGCAGATGACACCAAGTATGGTGGGTAGTAGATCGTATGTCTGGTTCTGCGTTTGTGCTATGCCTAGTCCAACGAGGTCTCATACCTGCAAAGGCCAGATGCTCATCACTATTTTGGGCTTTTGTTCATAGTTGTTCATAATCATCAGGGTTGGAAGGGACCTGAGCAGATCATCAAGTCTGACCCCCTGCCATGGGCAGGAAAGAATGCTGGGATCAAAAGACCCCAGCTAGGTGATTATCTAGCCTGCTTTTGAAGACCCTCAAGGTAGGAGCGAGCACCACTTCCCTTGGAAACTGGTTCCAGATCCTGGCCACCCTGGCTGTGACACACTGGCCTTTTTCCAGTCCCTTGGCACCTCGCCAGAGCACCAAGAGTGCTCATAAAGCCATGCCAGGGGCCCTGCAATGACCCTTTCTAATTCCCTCAGCACTCTTGGGTGGAGATCACCTGGACCTGCTGACTTGAACATGTCCAGCCCCACCACAAGTTCCCTAACTTGTACCTCCCTGACCCTAGGCCTGGTGGTGCCTCTCCTGAGTCTGTCTGGCATCCCAGTATGGGAGATGTCCCAATCCCTGCTCAGAAAAAATTGAGGCAAATAATTTGTTAAAGAGGTCCACTTTTTCATCTGGTGCAACCACCAGATGGCCAAGCGTGTCCTGCAGGGCCCCACGTTACTCGGTGCCTTCTTTTTACTCACTGTGTATTTAAAAAAGGACTTCTTGTTATCTTTGATCCTGGACACTAGTCCCAGTTCCGTCTCTACCTTAGCCTTCTTAACAGCCCCCCTATAGTCTCGACCCACGGTGATATAATCAACCTTGATGAGATCCCCTCTCTTCCACCAGACGTACACCTACTTTTTTAGCATTCAGATATTGCTGAATGCCTTTGGTGAGCCATTATGGCTTTTGAGCACTCTTCCCGTCTTTGATTGGCCTTAGGACTGTCACCCTTTGGGCTTGGAGGATCGTCTCCTTAAGAAACGACCATTTGTCTTCGACTCCCAACTCCCCTACCCTCCAGGACCTCAGTGCCTTTGGTACTAATCTCCTCAACTCATTGAAATCGGTCATCCTGAAGTCAAGATCTGCTGCCCTACTGCAGGCCTTTGACACCCTGTGCTGGAAGGTGAATTCCAGTAGGCGATGATCGCTATCGCTCAGGTGGTCGGGGACCCACAATCCCCTCACCAGGTCATTGCCTGTAGCCAGGACCAGGTCCAGCAAGGCATTTCCCCTGGTGGGGCTGTGCACCTCCTGGGTTAGGTGGATGTCCTCTATCTCAGCTAGGAACCTAATGAGCAGTCAGAACTGGCTCACTGCTCCTCCCAGCAGATGTCTGGGTAGTTTATGTCACCTACGATGACTACATCTCTTGACTTAACTGCCTCCGCAAGCTGACCTGAGAATTCCTGGTCCTGCTCTTCCCCCTGGTTGGGTGGTCTGTAGCAGACCCCCACCATTAAGTCCCTTTCCCCATGACCCCCTTGTATCCTAACCCAGAGCAGTTCAGTCCACTCCTCCTCTGACACTAACATCTATGCAGGGGGTCGGACTCGATGATCTATTGAGGTCCCTTCCCACCCTAACATCTATGAATCTATGACCCCGTTCTCTTTGACGTAGAGCACCACACCCCCGGCTTTCCTCCCCATTCTATTCCTTCCTTTTCCTTTTTATGTAGCTTAGCCAAAAGAAGGAAGCACAGAGGCCTGGTGGTTCCCTGTCAGTGGGTCACATAAATCCACACAACAATACCCTGGCCTGGCTTCCTACATCCTACTCCTTCGACTGGCCTCTGCCTGCTTCCAAAGCATACACTCCAGTGAGCACCCTCAGTGGCTCGTGAACTAAATAAATGGAGATTGACTGGAAATCACTGCAGCTATTCTGTGTTTACACTGCTGCTCTTGAAAACAGAATTTGGTCTGGTCTCTTTATCTTTTCACATATCCCGGTACTTCCCTGAGGACCTGGGGCAATTTCTAGCATGAGTCTTTCCCTGGAAAACTTTGCATCTCTTACTCACATTTGCATATAAATAATTGATCTGTGACCATCTTCCTGAGATGCAGATCATCTTCCTGGGTGGGGAGCAAAGGAGGTGGTTGTGGAGAAGAGCCAGAGGAACAAGGACACACCTGTACCACGTCCACAGCGGTCTTCCCAAGCACAGCCCAGCCAGCCCACTCATGCACTACATTTCTCACACCCAGAAAGGAGGGTTTCTCTGAAGCACCAGGGCCCACCGCTCCTAACTACACCAGGGCAGTAGCGTGGCAGCCTCATCATTGTAGGAGCAGTATTTCCAGAGCCTCTGCTGGAGAAATGGTGGGCAACTTTGAGTCTCCTCCTGAGCCCAACTGGTAAAACCACGAGGAGTCCTTTGTTTGTCCAAGGTAGGAAAGGGGTTTGCAGGGAGTTCAGGGGTTGGATGGAGCCCATGGTCCCTGGGAATGCAGCTGGAGGGGTGAGGTTTGCCTCTGCTTAACCCATTTGGGCAACCTTATCCAGTTCTGTCCCCATCCCAAGCACCCACCCCAGGGATGACAGAAACAAAGCCAAATACAGTCAATGATATCACTGCCAGGTTAGGTTGTAATCAGGGAACTAAGGAGGTGAGAACAGTTGATGTGGGTCTATCCAGAGCAGCGCATGCACCGAAGGTCCCATTTGGACATCTCCGCTCCCCTTCAGCAGGCCCTTTACATGCGTACACAGCAAATGAAGGTGCCGTAACACTTGCCAACCATCACTTCATGGCCAGTGCATCTTGGACGGCATGAACCGCCTGAATAGGAACATATCATGGGGTTGTTTTGCCCACCAGCACCTGAACAAGAGAAAAAAAGGTCACTGTGACTTTATGCTCCCCTTTTCCAAGCATGGGAATTTCAGCACAAGAGGAATGATGATAATAGGACAGGAAATGGCCACAGGTAAGGCAGGGGCTGACAGACCAGTTTGCCAGTGAAACTGTGACATCTATATAACATTAAAACAACAATACACATACATGGCAGGATACATGGCAGCGCTGGACAGAGCAATCTGGAAGGGACGTGTAAACCAAATGCAGTCCTTGGTTAAAATCCCAGCAGCAAGGGCCCCCTCCACCCATTGAGACCAACTCTCATGCCTGCTCTCCCCATCCACACCGATGTCCCTTCCTCGTGCAAGCACCCGTGCCATGGACACCCCCAGCCCTTGCATCCTACCTTCAGCTTCCACATCGCCTTTTGTTTCCGAAGCATCATCCTCCACCCCATCCCAGGTGTCCGCTTCCTTCTGGGGTTGCTTCTCACCCACCGGATTGGACATGGCCCGGACATGGAGAACCAAGAGGACCAGGGCAAAGAGAAGGCAGGGGGTCTTCATGGCTGCAGGTTGCCTGGGATTCAGGAGACACCAGAAGAGATGAAGCTGTGAGACACTGTGAGACTGGAGCTCCTCTGAGGACTGTTGGAAGAGAGTCCTTGCTTTATATGTCTTTCCAAGGAGGAAGGCAGAGGGAATTACAGCATGGGGGATTTCTCAGGGAAGCTGCTCTAATCTGCTGCACAGCCTGCTGTCATGTGTCCCTTGTGTTTGGTGAAAGCTTGCTGGAGATAAGCCCTCCCTGCTCTCCAGCTGTGCAAGTATCAATTTACAGTGGTGCAAGTGTCACCTCAGAGGTATCCCTTGCATCTGTCTTCCTTTAAGCAAATATAATAAAATCACCCCACTCCTGTCTCCTGGTCTGGCACAGTCAGGCATGTGTTGCAAAATCTTAGTTCATTGATTCCCTCTTCTAATCAGGGTTTGTACAGCACCTGGCACAATTAGGCTTTGATCCATGACCAGGACTCCTAGATGCTACCACATGGCATTCCCTGTATGAATTTTGAGGCCTGTTCATTGCTGGCTTGGGCATTAATTCTTCAGTGTTGCTACTGAAACTGCTGGATAATCCTTCCGGGACATCTTAGGTCTGGCCTCCAGGCTGACAGCAGATTGGGCCAGCAGATTGATCCCTCTGTCCTCTACAGAAGGGAACAGACCTTGCCTAGCAAAGTCCTCTGTTACTGCCTTGTTTGAGGCTCCTTGATTCTGCAGTGTTCCCTTTTCCTTGCAAACCTCTTTTTCTCTCAGCAAGCTTACAGTGAAGGAATGTGAGAGAGAGTTGCCCAGCTAATTCCCTAGCAAACACCCCCTGGGCTGTAGTTAAACAAGGGGCTGTAGTTAAACTGGACTCTAGTTAAACAACTGGACTCTAGTTATACAAGGGGCTTAAGTATCCGCCTAGCTGCTGAGTTTTAGCTGCTTAAAATGCAACTCTGTAGGTTAGTCTTAAGTCCTAGGGCCGTGCAAGGCTTCGGACCATGCTTCAGATCCAGAGAAGCATGTCCAGTCGAAGTTCTGACTTCTCCATTAGGCTTTCTGAATGGGTTCAGAGCTTCCAAAGCACTTTGGAAAACCTTTGAAGCCGCTTCAGAGATCCGGCCATAGGGATTTATAATGGGGAATCAATGAAACATCTATAACTTTGTTGCTTTTTTCTGATTTGCATGAAACTTGCAGGGCTGGTAGTGTCTGTAGAGGGAATGATGCCTGCCAAGCTTCAAGAAGATCAGTGCAGGGCTTCTAGGAGAGCTGAACCCCAAATTCTTGAAAGCAAAGCTCGGGTCACATGTGTGTGTTACACCACAGAGGGGTGAAAACTGCAGGGCTGGTAGCCCCTAGTGAGGCCACAAAGCCTGCCAAGTTTCAAGGTGATAGGTGCAGGGGTTTGGGGGGATGTGCACCCCCAGTTGCTGACAGGCAAAACTCATGACATAGATGACCCTGTGTGTGTTAAGGCACAGCAAACGGAAAGCTGCAGGGATGGTAGCCCCTGGTGCAGCCACAAAGCCTGCCAGCTGTTGAGCAGATCAGTGCAGAGCTTCTGGGTTCTGGAGCCCTGCACCCCTAGCTGCTGACAGGCAAAACTCGTGACGTGGGTGCTTGTGCAACTGACTGTCTCTGCTTTGGGCAGTTGATTGTCTGTATTGACAATTTCCTCTCCTTAGTCTGTCTGTGGTTTTGTAGGTGTTAATTGTTGATAATTAACTGGTTACATTAGCTAGCAACTGTGTATTGAGCTGGTTCCTGAGTGAATCATCATTGACTGGTAACTGGTAACACAGTAGCTTAGCAGCCAGGCCTGCAGCAGTTGTCTTGTCCTGCCCTCTGCTTTATAAATCCCACAATTCCCTGCCATGCTTTCTATTCGAGTGCTATCATCAACTATCCATGTCTTTGGTCCGTGGTGGCACTGAAGTCCTCACTCAGCATCACCATGAGGGTCCTTCTTCTTCTCTTTGCTCTTCTCTTCTTGGTTCTCCAGGCGCAGGCTCAGCACAAAGTCCAGGAAGAAGCCCAGGACCCAGCACTTCAGGATGAGGCAGAAGCAGTGATGGCAGCCCCAGGTAGGACACCAACCAGTGTAGGAGAGTAATGGGGCTGTCTGGGTCAGTGTGAAGGCACCACATCAGGCATCTCTGGTTTGCAGGACCCTGGGCATAACCATTATTCACAAGTGTTTATTATGTTCACTTCCAGTATTATGAATTACTTTTTATTAATGCACCCAGTCCTGCCTTTGGGAATGAAAATGTCCCTAAGACCTCCTTTCCCCTGTGCAGAGAGTACCCCAATTTCAAGAAGCCACTGTAGGTGCAGTGGTACCATGTGCCAGACTGAATTTTGCTTCAGAGGTGAAGTCAAGTTGGGATCCTGTACTTTCCTTCACCCTTGCTGCAAGGAGTTGCTAGGGCTCTGAAGTCGGGGCCAGCATCTGAAGGAAGACCTTACGGAGGATATGAGAGATCCAGAGAGAGGGAGAGCTGCATTAATTCTGCTTTTCTGGGTCATGTTCTGAATCCCAAATCATATTGCCTAAATTAAATGATGCTTGCACAAGACAGGGCCCATGTCTTTAATGCTTTTAGGGCAAATATCATAACTCAGGAGTGCCTGTTTGCTGTTCTGGCTGGCAAATGAAGAACATGGGCACAGGAGAGATCTCATGAGCACAGTGGCTGGAGTGCTGCTGACTGCTGCTGGACCTGCATGGACCTTTCAGCAGATGTCTCCTGATTGCACAGGTGGAGTTCAAAGAAAAGCAGCCAGTGCCAAGATGCTCTTAATGAAATCATGGGAACTGGTGAGTACTTATTCAATGCTCTGCTTCTCTGGATGTTCCCTCTCTCTTTAGGTCTTGTGCTGCTCAGAGCAGGGGTCGCAGCTAAGCAAAGCCCTGCAGAGAGAAGGTCTGGGGCAGAGGAGCTGCTGCAGAGCTCTAGCAGGGGTGAGTGATGACTAGGTTGCCTAAGTAAGGGTGGAAAAGTGGATGTTGTTTTTACCGGTGTTAAGAGAAAATGATTTGTGTACCTTTCTTTGCCCTGCTCCACATGCCATCCGATGCTGGACAAGATGCTTTGGTCCCCAACAAGACACAAATTCCCACAATGGGATTTCAGTGCCATCTTGATGCCTAACCGCGCAACTCTAAGGTCATGGAGTGGTGACATGTTCCAGTGACCACAAATAGGACTAGTCAGACACAGAGATAGATCTATTAATCCATTAGCACATTTGCCACTCAGAGAAAGCATATATACGGACAGCCTGGGTAGTACTCTTGGAAAACGACTCTCTCTGCTTCTGGGGGACTTGAACAATTACTGAAGTGTTGTTGAAAGTCCTGGTTTAGGGTTGAAACAGGTTTAATATCTCTGGTTTAGGGTTACAGGGGACAGCAACAAAGTGGGGGTCTGCTATAGGCTGCCAGACGAGGAGGAAGTGGTGGATGAGGCTTTCTTCAAACAGCTAGCTGAAGTTTCCCACTCCATTTGTCCCAGATTCCCCATATTGTACAGGGATCTGTGTTTTCCATTCACTGCAGAAAACCAAGGGAAATGGCAGGTTTCATGGGGTGGGGGAGGCGATGGACTTGTGTGGGATTTAGGGGGCCCCACATGCATGTATGTCCATGCCCACATGCACATGGCCAGAAACAAAGCCCCAAACAGGGGTGGAGGGCAGCTCCCCCAGCTGCCTGCAGGTGAGTGCAGAGGGGCAGACTGAGGCTTCTATGGCGATGGTGGGAGTAGGGCAAGGTTGGTGGCTGGGGATGCTGCTCAGGCAGGGCAGTGTATAGGGCCCAGGGCAGGAATGTGCAGCCACAGGGTCCAAAAGGGGAACAGGGCGGAGCCACAGACAGCTTCTCCAGGGAGTGAGGGGCACATGCCCCCCCAGATCTGTTGGCAGACTGGGGGAGGATGTGGGCTCAGGGCTCTCCTCCTGACTACCTTGCTCCTGGGATCCCCACACCAGCAGCACATGCCATGGCAAGGTGCCCTTTGCCCCTCTGTCCATAACTGTGGCAGTAGCGTAGAGTTGTGCCCCGTACTGTTGCTGGGTGGGCACGGAAAGCCTCACCATGACAATGCAGCAGGCATAGGGCTCCCAGACATAGCATAGATATATGCCCAGCATGTGGGCATATATCCCTGTTTCCTATTTGGAAAACGTGGTCACCCCAAGCAGGTCTTTAAGGAATCCATTTCTAATCACTTGGAGGAAACAAGGTGATTATGAACGGTCAACATGGATACACCAAGGGCAAGTCATGCTTGACCAACCTTATTGCGTTCTACAATGAGATGACTGGTTCCACGGATGCGCAAAAACCAAGGGATGTGGTGTACCTGGACTTCAGTGAGGCTTCTGATACCTTCTCCCACAACATTGTCGCAGGCTAACTAAAGAAGTACAAGTTGAATGAATGGACTGTAAAGAGGAGAGAAACTGGCTGATTCATTGGGCCCAGAGTATAGTAGTCAATGGCTTGATGTCTACCTGGCAGTCAAGCTGAATATGAGCCAGCAGTGTGCTCTTGTTACCAAGAAGGCTTATGGCATCATGGGCTGCATTGGTAAGTGTGTTGCCAGCAGATCCAGGGTAGAGACTCTTCCCTTCTATTCAGGACTGATGTCGCCCCATCTGGAGTACTGGGTCCAGTTTTGGACCCCTCACTACAGAAAAAAATGTGCACAAATTGGAGACAGTCCAACAGAGGGTAACAACAGGGGTACAGGGGCTGGGACACATGATTTCTGAGGAAAGGCTAAGGGAACTGGGCTTATTCAGTATGCAGATGAGAAGACTGAGAGGGGATTTAATAGCAATCTTCAGCACTTCAGGGTGTTTTCAAAGAAGATGGAGCTAGACTGTTCTCAGAGGTGGCAGATGACAGAACAAGGAACAATGGTCTCAAGCAGCAGCAAGGAAAGTTTAGGTTAGCTGTCAGGAAAAACACTTTCCATTAAGAAGGGAGCAAAGCCATGGAACAGGTTACCCAGAGAGGTTGTGCAATCTCCATCTTTGGAGGTTTTGAAGACCTGGCCTGACAAAAGCCTTGCTAAGATAATCTCATTGGGGATGGTCCTGTTTTGAGCAGGGGGTTGAAGTAGATGACCTATGGTCCTTTCTAACCCCTATTTTCTATGATTGAATGATTCTATGAAGGTGGTATTCAACTATCTGTTCAATTCTTATGACTGTATAATCCAGGAAATATGTGAGAAGCAGAGTTCTTAGAGGGAATATCTGGTGTTGGACCAACTGTAGACTTAGCAACGATGTTAAACAAAGTTTGAGGCACAAAGCATCCCTCATCATGTCTAG